GCATCTGCAGTTCCTACTATCTCTGGCTAGGAACAAGTTCTTGTTATCTCTGAATTGCTAGGAATCATACCTGTTTACTTAATTCTTCTCTCCGGACTCCCTCACTATCTGCTACTTTACTTGAGACGGCCTCCATCACCTCGTCTTCACCATCCAACACCTGCTCCACTCCCCTTGGGTTGTTTCCATGTGCGGCTCCCGGAAGTACACAAGGCGACAACACGCATGCGCGACGGTGGCAGAATACGCTCTCTAGCGCTTCCGGCGCCTAGCAGTTTGGGAGGTCACATTGCATCGACATTTACAACAGCGGTCAACTGGAATGAGGGTTTGGAGAAGTTGGAGGTAGAACTTCTCAATGGTGTAGCACAACAATCAATGTCACTCACTATGTTGCGTCTGGCGACCAAAACTAAACGAAATTGAAAAACATATCCTCAAACCAATGGTAACACCTCCTATGTTGCATGGAGCAAGAATAGCATTTCAAACTTAAACAGCAAGGTCAAAATAAGTCTAAAGTTATAGAAAATAAAGTAGATTTAATTTCTCAGTTGGTTTAAAATAGCAGAAATAACAAAAACAAAGAATCCAGAAAATTAAGAAACATTCTAGAATTGTTTTCAAAAATGTTAGAACCAAACCCACTCAAAATTTTGACTGTGATCCTGCAATGCACAGGTTAATCTAATTTGCCATCATTTGGCAAGCAGCAGGATCAAAAAATTGTATCAAAGTTATTACAAATTTCAAAGCTCAAAGGAAAATATTTGAAATTAAACATGACAATTAAACTTCATTCCAGCCAACAGTTGTATCAACCCATGTATAAATAATTAATTAGAAAATGATCGTACAAAAAACAAAATACAAAATCATTCAGTTACTAAAAAGTCTCAGTCACAAAAACATTAAAAAAAAATCAAATAAATCATTGCAAACCATAATATTTCTCTGCCTGAAACAAGCAACATCCACAGCTTTTGTGTTCAAATCTGGAAGATTCTTATGTGAGTAGCAAATAGTCAAGTCCAAAATGTTTTATGTTATCTTCTCTAAGTTGGTAACTCTCTTAACTTTTATGAAAGAAGGTGATGTGTTAAAAAAAATGACATGAGCAATATAAGTTAATATTGCAAGTCATTGAATCCCTACAGTGTGCAGGCAGGTCATTCAGCCCATACTGACCCTCTAAAGAGCATCGCGCCCAGACCCATGCCATCCCTGTAACCCTGCGTCCCCCATGGCCTATCTACCTACACTTCTTTGGACCGTGGGAAGTAACTGGAGCACAGGAGGGAAACGCCCACACAGATACAGGGAGAATGTGTCAACTCCACACAGACAGTCACCCAAGGGTGGGGTTGAACCCTGATCCCTGGCTCTGTGAGCTAGCAGTGCTAAACACTGAGTCACCATGGTCCCCAGTACAATTCAGTACTACAGAAGTGCTATGTTGTCACTGCTGTCTTGTAGATAAAAACCTGTCATCCTGCACTCAAGTGGATATTCAACATCCCATTACAATACTCTTTCAAAACTTAACTGTCAATTGACAACATGTGGAATCTTGGCAAAATTGCTACTCCATTTCCCAACGTAATACTCACCGAATTTCAAAGGAACTAATTTGACATCAAGTATTTTGAGTTGTCTTTGAGAAATGCTAAATCAAAGTTTTTTTTTCCTGCATTATTAAGAAGTTGACTAAAGCAAGAATACAGGTGGAAAAGGCCAAAATGGATAGGCAAGTAGTAATTAGGAGATACGGAACTTGGGCTATTAAAGCCTAAAGATGACAGAAAGAAGCAAACCCTATTGGAGGTAAACATTTTCACAATTTTGAGATTAGAGGAGAGAATGCTTTGAAATGGATGTCTGAATGATACATCTTGAATTCAGGAGTGATATTGCAAGAAAAGGAGAAGACCAATAGAATGTATATTGAACTAAGAATGCCAGTGCATAAATATTTCATACAATATAGTAAAAACTATGATTTCAGAAATGTTAGGAACAATATTCATGTCATTAAGATACTATAATCACTCAAACATACCGCATAAAAATTGTGAGATTCAGCTACTGTCATTTACCAGATATCAATGTTTATAAATGCAGATCTGAAAAAGGGCTATTAAAGCTCCCATTTTTTGATTTGTGTTAACAGCAGAGCTTCACAACATTATATCTATTAAGCTGTTGATTTTTGAGAATGGCATAATTTAAAATGGGTAATTCTCAAAAACAAAGCAATTATAGAGTTATAGAGATATACAGCATGGAAACGGACCCTTCAGTCCAACTCATCCATGCCAACCAGATATCCTAGATAAATCTAGTCCCATTTGTCAGCATTTGACCCATATCCGTCGAATGCTTTCCTATTCATATACCCTCCAGTTGCCTTTTAAATGTTGTAATTGTACCAGCTTCCACTGCTTCTTCGGGCAGCTCATTCCATACACGCACTATTCCTTAAGTCCCTCTTAAATCCTTCCCCTCTCACCTTAAACCTATGCCCTCTAGTTTTGGACTCCCCCGCCCTGGGGAAAACACTGCATCTATTTGCCCTATCCATACCCCTCACGATTTTATAAACCTCTATAAGGTCACCCTTCAGCCTCTGATTCTTCAGGGAAAATAACCACAGCCTATTCAGCCTCTCCTATTCAGGTTGGTGGGGAGTGTGGAATGGACAACGGAGTTGCGGAGAGAGCGGTCCCTGCGGAAAGCAGATGGGGTGGGGATGGGTCTATCTCTTTGGTGGTGGCGTCTGATTACAGGTGGCAAAAGTGGCAGAGGATGAGGTGTTGGATTCGGAGGTTAGTGGGATGATATGTGAGGACCAGGGGCACTCTATCCTTTTTGTTGTTGAGGGGAGGGGGTTCGAGGGCAGAAGGGCAGGAAATACAGGAGATGTGGTTGAGGGCATTATTAATCACGGGAGCAGGGAAGTTACAGTCCTTCCGATGTAAATTCAGTTACTGTCTGGCTAATGGAGAGACGATGGTGTAGTGGTATTATCACTAGACTTGTAATCCAGAGACCAAGATAATGTTCCAGGAACCGAAGCTTGAATCATACCAAGGATTATTGAATTTAACAAAAACAATTTGGAATTAAAAGTCTAATGATGACCATAAAACACCAATTGTTGGAAAAGCACATCTAGTTCATTATTATCCTTCAGGGAAGGCAACTGCTATTGTTACCTGGTCTGACCTACATTTGAGTCCAGATCCTTGACTCTTGACTGCCCTGTGAAATGGCCCAGCAAGCTACTCAGTTGTAACAACAGCTAGAAAATCTCAAAAAGACTAAAACCAGATGAACCATTTGACTACAACCTAGGCACAACAACAATAACAGCTCTCTTGATCCTGGAAAGTGCTCCTTACTAACATTTGGGGGTTAGGGCCAAAACTGTGAGAGCTGTCTCACAGGCTATTCAAGCAAAAGCCTGACTTAGTCATACTCAGGGAATCATACCTTACACACAAGGTGCCAGACCGCACCATCACCATCCCTGGAATTGTTTTTTCTTTCTGGTAGGACAGACCTAGCAGAGGTGGAAGCACAATGGTATGCAGTTGGAGGGAGTTGCCCTGGAACTCCTCAACATTAATGCTGGACCTCATGAAGTCTTGTGGCATCAGGTCAAGCATGGATTAGAAATCTGCTGATTACCATGTACTGTCCACCATTGGCAAACGAAACAGTGCTTCTCCATTTTGAATACAATTTGAAGAAAGCACAGAATGTAATTTGGGTGGGGTATTTCAATGTCCAAAGAGTACAGATCCAATCTACTCAACCTCTCCTCATAAAACGGTCCGTCCATACCTAGTACCAGCCTTGTGAACTTTCTCTGCACTGTCTCCAATGCCAGTATGTCTTTCCTCAGATAAGGGCCTCAAATTGTTCACAGTATTCCAGTTATGGTCTGACTAGTGCTTTGAATAATTTTAGCAAACCTCCCTATTCTTATAGTTCATACCCTTTGAAATAAATGTCAACATACCATTTGCCTTATCTGTTACCCACTGAACTTGTATGCTAGCTTTTTGTCATTCATGAATGAGGACTCCCAAATCCATCTGTTCTGTAGCTTTCTGCTGTCTTTCTCTGTTTAAATGATATTGAGCTCTATCTACAAAATACAATGCAGAAATTCAACAAGGTTCCTTAGACAGTGCCTTCCATGACACATCTAGAAGGATGAGGGTAGCAGATAAATGAGAACACCATTGACTACAAGTTCCCCTCCAAGCCACTCACAATCCTGACTTGGAAATATATCGTTGTTCCTTCCCTGTTTCTGGGTCAAAATCCTGGAATTGCCTTCTTAATGGCATTGTGAGTGTACTTAAGCACATGGACTACAGGGGTTCAAAAAGGCAGCTCACCGCCACCTTCTGAAAAGCAACTATGGACAGTCAATGAATATTGGCACAGCGAGCATTGCCCATATCTCATGGTTAATTTTTAAAAAAAGAGTCCCTCGTGTTCCTGAAATGCCACACCTGCAGAATGTCAGGCAACACTGAAACAGAGAGAAATATAACAAAAAGAAGTAAAGAGTGGGCTATTGTCTCCCCTTCTAAGCTGGAAACCACATCTTGTGGACCTATTCTGTTTTGACCTTCTAAGAATATAAAAAAGAAATGGGTTCGAAACTGACTGCAACACTAATCTGTATGTGTTAGTGGCCTGATGTCATAGTGAGTGGTCTACAGTCCAGTGAAGGCTACAAATCTGAGAAGAGCCATTGAAACTTGTTTGCCTTGCAGGCAAAGAAAGAAACAAGATTTTCTCTCACTCTGAATGCTTCCAGTCAGCCACTATCGACAAGAGTTTCAATCAACCTACAAAGCCATGAATCTCAAAATCAAGTAGAATGTCAATGTTACTGGTAACCTTCACAGCAATGGCTGCAACATTCAATTATCCATTCTTATCAAACGATTCAGAGACTGATTTACATTTTTTTAAAAACTCATTTGCTTTTCAAGACTGACCTCTCTTCTCCAATCTGTGTGTATGTGTGTTGCATTACTACTTCTATTCAAGTTTAATCACTACAAGCTCACACTTGTTAGCTGAAGAAAGCCTGGTTAAATTGGCTCCTTTTAAAACATTTGGGTCTGTGAGAAAGGTATTTACAAGGGAAAGGACCCATTAAAAATAAATATTGTTGTGACCAGCTGAGGGGATGGGTGAATATATCAAGGGGAACCAGTTTACTTCTCTTCATCTGGGATCTTAACAGTTAAGGCTACAGATCTGAGAAGAGCGATTAACACACCCGGAGGAAACCCATGTAGACATGGGGCAAACGTGCAAACTTCACACAGACAGTCGCCCAATGGTGGAATCAAGCCCACGTCCTTAGCACTGTGAGATAGCAGTGCTAGCCACTGAGCCACCATGCCAACTGTTTCCTTTTGTTAGAGAATCTAGAACTAGGGGCTCACTGTTTAAAAATAAGAGGTTTCCCATTTAGGACAGAAATGAGAACAATTATTTTGTCACAGAGATTCGTGAGTTTTTAGAACTCCTTTCCTCAGAAGGTGGTGGAAGTAGAATGTTTGAATATATTTAGAAACACACATCTAGATTCTTGATAAGTGAAGGAGTAACAGGCTATGGGAGTTAGATAGAAATGCGAAGTAATCAAATCAAGCATGAACTTATTGAATGGTGGAACAAGCTTGAGGAGCCTAGTGGCCTATGTTTGCTTCAAATTAATATCTTCACATGTATATACAAAGGTTTTGTGGTGACATGAAGTGCCAGCGTGGATATCTGTAGAGACTGCACAGGATGAAGAAGTCGATGGCTACCAGGATAGCAAGCAAATGCACACATTAAATTTTTGTTGTTTTTGCAGGCCAGCTGTAAGTAACACTTACAATTGTGATTAAAAATAACACACAGAAGAATGTCAATGTATAGGTTCCCTATGCTTGAATAGATACAATAATGAGATACAATTCAACCCACAAGATGGAGCAATTGTTTAGCAGATTGAAATGTCCTGGAGGCTGTGGTCATCACTGAAGTGGCAGCATTTGGGGCTAACCTTGAAGAAATTGCTCACAAAATTCTTGTGAACTGTTTAGTGTGGATTTCAACATTCCCAATGTTAATTCCAGCACCAGCCTTGGGAATTTCCAGTACTCACAGTCAAGCAAGCTAAACAGTTAATCACATAGTAGAATTTTCATGGGCAGCAAATAAGGATTCAATTGATATTTAAAATTTTACAGAAAGCGAAATAAAGGTTTGGAAGACACAAGCACCAATGCAATGGATCAAAATTCTGATGTCCTTATGAACAAATTAATTCCAAAATATATTTTTAGAAGAGAGCTGCTATTATTGAAAACCAGGGAACTTCAAACAAAATCACTTAAAGGAAGAGTTAATGAGAAGCTGAGTACCCACCCTCTTCTCAGCAGAGAGCCATCTCATCCAGACATTGTTTCAGAGATAGTAGGAACTGCTATGCTGGAGAATCTGAGATAACAAGGTGTAGAGCTGGATGAATACAGCAGGCCAAGCAGCATCAGAGGAGCAGGAAGGCTGATGTTTCGGGCCTAGACACTTCTTCAGACCTGCTGTGTTCCTCCAGACATTGTTGTGTTTTTCCTTTCTCTGTGTTAGTGGTCTGATAAAACTAATGTGTGGGCTGATATGTTGGGAGGTGATAGCTTGAGAACAAACATTGACTGCCCACACTGCAGGTAAAAGAGGAAGAGTAAACTTATCATACTGAGTTTTGCCAGGCAACCACCATCAAAAGTAACCAGGACAAAAAAAATGAAGTCAACCTGCAAAACCAAGTATTATGAAACTGACTGATTAACTTCCAGTGTCAACCCTACTGGTACTTTCCAATGTAACTGTCACAATATTCCATTATCTACTCCACTCAAGAGTCTGGGACTGATTCATACATCTTTTTTCAAACTTTTACTTTTTTAAAAAAATTCATTTCTTATTCCTAATCTGTGTGTATGTGTGTTGCATTCTTGTTTCTTTTCACGTTTAGTAATAATTAGCCTGGTTAGATTGGTTCCTTTGAGACATAAATTCTTTTGGAGAAAAGTATCCACAAGTAAGAGGATCCTTTTTAGGTTAAAATCTTGCTGTGATGAACTAAGGGTGGTGTGCGGTGGTGAGTGAAGAAAGGGAGTTAGGTCATCCTTAGCCGGGAGCTTAATGATTTGGGGCACCTCATTTGGAAACATGACAAATTGAATTACAGATTACAATCTAAAATATTAAGGTACAAGTCAAAATATCATGACCAAATTTAAGGAATAATTTTAATTATTTTAAGCATCAATGTGACTGGATTGTAGGGGTGCTTTGGTCCCTGCTTTCCCAACTAAAATGTTACGGAAGCCTGGCCACAGGGTCATGTCTGGCCCAGGGCAATTTAATGCTGGGAATAACTCTAGGAACAGGCTGTAATAACAAGAGTATGCCTTTGATGTTGTTTCTTGTTTATTTACAAATCCATTAGCTAATTAAAGGGTGATGTTTTCTTTTGAATTCAAGTAGCTTTTAAATAACATTGTGTTTCAATTCCAGGTTTTATTGGATTATTGGAGGTTTAATTTTTTTCACAATGAATTGAAAATAATGCCTGTTTCAATTGCTGGGCTCCTGTGGACTGTATGTAGTGCATGTTAAGTGAGAGGCTTTGAAGATGGCAATAGTTGGACTACCTCTGTTGGAGAACCATGGTGGGTCTCCTAATTGGCTCCCCTCTCATCAGCACCTCCACTTGAACTGCTTTTTGTGGTTCACAAAATTCATTGCAAGCCTGAACCCTGAGAGAAAGGACAAACGTCCTGGGCAATGTCACACGTGGGTTAGTCATGCATATCAGAACGTGGAAAAGTCTGCAGGTTAGATTTCTCCCAGTCTAAAGGAAAGTCCAGCATCAGTAAATGCTGTCAGTTTTGTGGAGTAATGGTGATGGGCAATGACATTTTTTCTTCTGTTACAACTGTAAAATTCAGACTGCTAACAAAATCTTAAGACTAAAGCTTCGGTAGTTGGGGTATGAACTGCAAACGAACTTGGCAAAATTATTTCCTTTTTCTTTACTGCTTTTGGCTTTTCTCTTTTGTTCCTCTTTTCTTCTGCTTATGGATGACAGCTGTTCATGTCCTGCCATTCATATTGTTTAGTCATACCTTTTGCCTCCTTACCTGTTCTATTACACTCCCTTTGGTCTTGCATCTTGCAGCATTTTAGCACCTAATCTTTCCTGCTTTGCACTCTATCACTAATCTTCTCTTTCGTTCTGCTTTTCACCTTTCTTCTTTCACTGGCTTAAATTTTTTAGTCATTCGGAGAATATGAGCTTCACTAGCTGGGCCAGCAATTATTATTGCCCTTCCCTTAATGCTCTCAAGAAGGCTGTGGTGAGCTGCCTTCATGAACTGCTGGAGTATATTTGGTGTTGGTACACCCACAATGTTCTTAGAGAGGGAGTTCCAGGGTTGTGACCCAGTGACGGTGAAGGAATGGCACAATATATTTCCAAGTCAGCATGGGCGAGTGGCTTGGAGGGAACTTGCAAGTGCTGAGGCACCCATGTAAATACGCCCTTGTCCTTCTAGATGGTAGTGGTCATGGGTTTGGCACGTGCTGTCTAATGTGCTTTGATGAATTACTGCAATGCACCTTGTAGATGGTACATGCTGTTGGTACTGTATGCTGGCTGTGGAGGGAGTGCATGGTTGTGGATGAGGTACTAATCAAGCTGGCTGCTTTTGCCTGGCTGGTATCAAGCTTTTTGGGTGTTGTTGGAGCTCCACTCATCCAGGCAAGTGGGGAACAGTATTCCCTCCAATTTTCTATGGACTGTGTGGGCTTCCGAGGCTCATGTGCGGTAGCAACTTATGAAACTGGAAGTCAATGCCTCAATTGGCATGCCAACACTGGTTATCATGTGTGGAACACTGCAGCAGCTTGCAAACAAGGGGCTGCAGAGCTCAGATAGAACATTGGTGGGGAGTACTCCATCTCACTCCTGACTTATGCCTTGCAGGTGGTGGACAAGCTTTGGGGCATCAGGAGGTGAGTTCCTTGCTATAGCCTTTGACCCGTTTTGTAGACACATGTATATCTAGTTCAGTTCAGTTTCTGATCAATGGAGGCCCCTAGGGAATGTTACATCTTAAACATTTTCTGATTCTGTTCAAAATTTCTTTAAACATTTGGCTGGACTCAAACATATATATTAGCTAATGGGCAGGAAATTTTCTTAGAACACAATCCCACAAAATTTAGTTCAGTCCCAGTCTTTTGAAAATTGTCATGAGGCATAGTATAACAGGAAAACTTCAAACTGAATATCCACACATAAAATTTTTTGTGTGTGCTGATTTTTTTCTAAGAGAACTCAATGGTGAAGATTAGAACTAGAACCAATTTTTGACACTTAATAAGCAGAGTTACAATTTGCAAAGATGCAAGTCCTAACTCCAATAATCAGTTTCAGTGTGTTCCCTTCTAAACAGCACATGTTTTAACCCAGTTAATGTATACTATCCACATAAGAGTAAATGTAATTGATATAGAATTATAATATACCCTGATATTATTGTCTTCTCCCCTTTCCATTATTCCAAAGAGATCTGGGAATGTAAGGGGTCTAATTTGAAGGCAGGTCAAGAACCTAAGTATTGGATAGGCCAGGAAAAAATCATCATCACATTCAACATTCCAGCTCATCGCTCAGCCGACAGAGGAAAGGAGTATATGAAAAACAAGATTTGAAACCCAAGATTAAGATCATTTTTACTGGGTAGCAATTATCCCCACACCCCTATATGCTTTGGAGACTTGGAAAACATACAGCAGGAACCTCAAAGAACTTGAGAAATATTGTAGTGCCAGTAGTGCCTTTGCAAAATTCTACAAATCTGTTGTCGAGATAGGCAGTACAAAGAAAGCCACCTCTCTCAAGCCAACTGTGAGGCAAATCACTCAATACCAGCTCTGCTGGGTGGGACATGCCATTCAGAGGGAGCCCAGAAACTCTCAAACAACCCACTTATCTAACGCTTCAAACATCACCTACCTCACTTGTAGTAAGTCTGCAGACGGCACATTAGGCCTGGCAATCATCTCAGAACCCAATGAACCGGGGTGGAAGAAGTCCTCTACAATCCTTAGGAATTTGCCTGAGAGGGAAAGAGAGATAGACAATGATATCAAGTGGCAGGATAAACTATCTTTCCCTAACTTTTATAATATAGAACACTTTTAAAAAAAGTACAACTATTTATTAGTCAACCTTTTTTGTTGCACTAAACACGACATTTCTTATGTTGATCAGAAATTAAGTGATTATCTTCCTCTCCATTTTTTTAACATAGCCCATAAAAGTACCAAGATAAGAAATTGTAGTGTCCATTGATTTTATGTAGTCTCAATGATTTTTTTGTACAAAGAAAGTTTAAATAATTCAAGTAATCACATTTTAATTGCATTTTGTACAAGAAAGAAATGGTGATTGTAGTAGGCAGATGAACTGAGTGGTACGTAGGATTACAACACTGCCATTTAGCTTTGAAGTTTGGATTAGTGTTCTCATTAATCATATGTAAAGGAATTTATAGGCATTAGGAGAAATTAATTTCCTCAGTCCAGATTCCAGAAATATCTAACTCCTGTACCCAAAATAATCTGTTTTCACAGTGGATAATAAGCACAGAAGTAAGAAAAATACAGCATTTGTAGGATTCTAAACTAAATAATAGGACAGGTGGAGAAGAAATGTTGATTTACACATGGAGTCTCTTGCCATATAACTGCTGCTGCATTATCTCAATGCAAAAGAAAATTTTCAGAATTTGCAGCTGACTCATAATGGGAGTTTTAAGTTCAAGCTCCAAATTGAAAGTTATTTTTTTCAGGCTTTTATTCTTGTTGATGTGAATAAACATGATAATAGGACACAGTGCACAATTCATGACAAATGTTGCCAGGAATAAAACAGAAACAAATTTAGCAGTCAGACGGTCTGTATCTTGTCTGGCAGGCATTGATTCTCCTGCTAATGTAGAAGGGACCATTATTTAGGTACACAAGGAGGTTCCAATGTCTCTAGGGGCTAAAATTCTGATTGCCGTCTGACAGTATGCCATAATAGATGATGAAGGAGCCTGATTGGCTACTCAACACTTGGAGGCAGGCAGCCATGGACCCCCATCCACCTCCATCATGTCTCTGCAAGATGGCCTCGGGACAAGATGGTGCTGGCAAACTAGAAGTATGACACCTGCCTATGTCTTTACCCTCACAATGACCTAAAGCTCCAGCTGTGAATCTAGTAGGTATGGTCTACAAATTGGAGCTAGACCTTTCTGAGGTTAGGAGATGCTCTACACTAAAAGAAAAGAATGGTAGAAATTTTGAATTGTCTTCTGAAAATATGTGATTGATGCTAGTTTAATAAATAATTTTAAATTTAAGATTAATACTTTTTTTTGTTTACAAGAGGTGTTAAGGGATATGAGGCAAAGGTAGGTGTATAGAGTTAGGTCACAAATGGACCATAATCCCATTGTGTGATGGAACAGGCTCAGAGGGGCAAAATGGTCATCTCAAGTTCTTCTGTTCCTAACCACAAAATATGCTCAACGATTCAACATGGGAGGACTTTGGCCCTCTTTTTTGTGGTGTGCTGCTTACACACTGAGCTCCCAATGGTTTAGTCTGAGTTCTACTTCATCATCTGAAATGTCAATATTGAACTGATACATCAGCCAGATTTATGTGAATGCACTTCCATACAATATGAATATTTAAGGACAGTTTTAGCTAACAACCGGAGTGCTTGTGAGGCTTGGTGCGTAAGTCAGAGCTTTTCTTCTCTGTTTCCACAAAGTACAAGTAATAAACACTTTGTAGTTTATTGAATTATCTTTTTCATAATTTGGCCACTTAAAAACTAATCTTCTTTTAAACATTGCTGAAGAATTACAATTACCAATGAACAAATTTGAATAAAATCCATAAAAAAGGGAATAACATTGTTGATCCCTTACGCAATACAGAGTAATACCAACAGTATGGGTTCAATTCCTGCATCAACTGAGGTTACCATGAAGAATTCTTCTTGTCAACCTCTCCCCTCGCCTGACACGTTAAACCATCACCAGTCCTCTCTCTAATGAGACAGAAGACCTATAGTTTTTTAAGACTATGGTGACTTTATCTTTATTTTTACATGAGAGAGATGAATATGTTTCATTATAGTTACAATACTTGCTTAAAAAGAATCTGTTTCAGCACAACATTTAGTTCCTTTTCTCAACAGAAGCTCTGTCACAGCTAGTAAAGCTCAAACATTGATAAAATGAAGTCTGATAAGAGGAATTATTGCATAATTGTATTTTGAATAAACGCTATAATGGTTCACATCTGTAATCTGATCATGTTGTGAGGTCAGTGGGTTCAGCCAAAACTCTTTCTGCCAAAGAATGCAGGAACAAACATCGCAACACGAACAGAAAAATTTTTCAACAGGCAGCTAGTAATGTCCTATATACAACAAAATTACCCTCTTTCTGAGTACATGTTGTTAGATCATTGATAATAAACAATTGGAAATTATTCATTTCCTATGAAACCCATCATTGCTTTGCAGTACAAAGCACAGGACTTGCAAATGTTTGGAGTATTTGTTTTTTTCTTCTGAATGACTTTTTCTTAGATTAATGGAGGGTCTGCAAATTCAAAGTTGTCTACTTTGTAGTTTTTTCTGTCATTAGGCAGCTGGTTCAGCAATTTTACAATATCACATAAATTGAAAATCTAACCCATTCACTTTTGAAAGTAGCTAACAGAGTTATGGCATTCGAACTACTTTTATTAAAGATGTTTCTGGGTGCAATATTGCACAACACGTTTTGTACCTTAGATAACAAGGTGTAGAGCTGGATGAACACAGAAAGTTTTCTGAAGAAGGGTCTAGACCCGAAACATCAGCTTTCCTGCTCCTCTGATGCTGCTTGGCCTGCTGTGTTCATCCAGCTCTACACCTTGTTATCTCAGATTCTCCAGCATCAGCAGTTCCAACTGTCTCTGTAACGTTTTGTACCTTAGTAGGTTTACACAGCCAAACATTCTTATTTCCAAATCCATGATCAGGTTTGTTGATTGTACGAGAATAGAACTCAAAATATGTGTGCGATTCAATGCAGTTTATAGATGGTTGCCTTTTTAACCTTGAATTAAATACACAAACTTAGAAAATAGTTTGTCTTGGCATGAGTGGGTCCTGAGAAATAAGCCAATCTGATTTTGGATTTCAGGCCTCATGCATCTGATCATGTGCAGAAACAGAGTCGTGTCCTAGGCCCAACCATTTTCAACTGCTTCATTAATGACCTTCTCCCCATCATAAAGTCAGAAGTGGGGATGTTCGACGATGATTGTACAATGTTCAGCACCGTTCACGACTCCTCAGATACTGATGCAGTTCGTGTTCAAATGCAACAAGCTCCGAATAATATCCAGGCTTGGGCTGACAAGTGGCAAATCACATTCACTCCACAAAAATGTTAGGCAATGACCATCTCCAATAACCACTGCCCTTGACATTCAATGGTGTTACCATCACTGTATCCCCCACAATCAATAACTTTGGGATTACCAGAAACTCAGTTGGACTTGCCACACAAACACGGTAGCTATAAGCACAAGAATACTGCGGCAAGTAATTCACCTCCTGACTCCCCAAAAAGCTATACTTCCCACTTACCTAGATGAGTGCAGCTCCAACAACATTCCAGACAACACCATCCCGCCCACTTGATTGGCACCACTCCGTCCACCACTAATCCTCAACAGCAGCAGTGTGAACAAGATGCACAGTAGAAATTCACCAACTATCCTTAGACAGCACCTTCCATATCCTTAGGCAGCACCTTCCAAACCCACGACCACTACCATCTAGAACGACAAAGGCAGCAGGTACATGGGAAAACTACCACCTGTAAGTTCCCCTCCAAGCTACTCACCATCATGACTCGGAAGTACCTCACCACCCATTCACTGTCATTGGGTCAAAATCCTGTAATTCCCTCCCTAAGGATATTGTGGGCCAACACATAGCACATGGACTGCAGCGGTTAAAGAAGGCAGCTCATCACCTTCAAGGGCAATTAGGCGTGGGCAATGAATGCTGGCCAGTCAGTGACGCCCACGTCCCAAGACTAAATAAAGAAAAATTGTGCTTTGAAATGTATTGAATTTTGTGAATACTGTAATAATTGAAATGTCCAAGCTATTGTTGTTAATTCCATCACATCCACTATCTCTAGAATGTCTCTAAACTTCTAAATATTTTAAATACATTTTAAAACCTTTATAAATTTTAATTTTTTTTCATATTTTTAGCAACACCTTTGAACTCCCAGTGACTAACGTACGGAAATGTCCTGAACAAAGCGCCTTGCTTACAACTTCAGACTTGAAATAATTAAAACAATCAAGGAATAGACCAAATGGTAATGCCACAAGATAAATTCAGATCCCATCTCATACTGATAACACATCTCCTATCCTATAAGCTTTTTTCCGATTTCTCCAAACAGCATCCATGTTTCATCAATCGAGTTACAGCCAATTTGTGTTAACGAAACATGCATTAAAGCAGAAATACCTGAATGACATTGCATTCTTATGGTTACTTTTTGAACTGAGCAGGGTGTTTTCATACCGAAAATATCAATGCTGGAGATCACAGTAGGTCAGACAACATCCACGGAGAGAGAGAACAAGCCAACGTTTCGAGTCTAGGTGACCCCTCATCAGAGCTGAAGTGAAGTGTGGAGGGGACAGTATTTATGCTATAGTTGGGGGGTGGGTGGTGGGAGTAGTGGGTGTAGGGTGGTTGTGGAGAAAAGATATTGATAGTTCGGACTAAATGATTGGCAGGTGAGAATGGCAGAACAATGGTGTGTCTCCTGCCAGACTTGAAAGGACAGGCAGTTCCCCTGGAATGGGAGGGGAGAGAGGACGTGATAACAAGCTAAAAGAGAAGGAAGAAATGGTTCACAATTTGAAGGTGCTGACCTCAGTTGTTCTTCCAGTTTGTGCTGTGATTTATTGGAACACTGCAGCACATGTCCGTCCTTTCAAGTCTGGCAGATTGTAATCAAAACTTTTGCATTTCAATGTAATTAGCATTCATAATTCACCTTAACTGACAAATGAAACACTTGTCATCTGTATTTCTCGATCCCTATGGTCTTTGCAAAGAAACAAACAGCAGTATGCAGGAAAACAAATCAGGAATGTCTGGTGACAACCCCAAAACGCTCAGTGTGCATGTTCAAAATGTGTGTGTACAGTACCTTTGTCAGTATAGGTAGTAACACCATTTTGTCATGTGTGATTGTATATATTGTGCTTTACTAGGAGACACCATGTCTTTTTTTAAACTGACAGCGCATTTCACAAAGTGCACAATTGCAAAACCTTCTACGTGCACATTTCAGGGGTGACAGGAGACACAGCCATATGTTAATTTCATATGACTGTTTCAAATGCAGGCCTGGGGGCTCTCTAAAAATGACTCTTTTACAATATAACTTCATATATGCAACAAAGAAAGCCTTAAGCAGAGTATTTAGCAGATTCCAAAAAAGACCAAAGAACTGCGGATGCTGGAAATCTGAAACAAAAACAGAAATTGCTGGAAAAACTCAACAGGTCTGGCAGCATCTGTGGACAGAAAGCAAAGATAATGTTTTAGGTCCAGTGACCCTTCTTCAGATGAGAAATTAACACTGCATTCTCCAGTTTCTGTTTTTATTTTAGCAGATTAAATGATTTTGTGGAATTTCATGCTGGAAGAGGGTGACAGTTGGGAAGAGGACCTCGACTGCCATTTCGAAAGGGGGAGACTGCATAAGTTGGCAACTGTTGTTTGGAGACCCTGTCACCTATCTAACTTCTCCCAGTTAAGTTCAGGGCAAGGAGAGTTGAAGTGATTAATTGACCATCATGATGATTTTAAATTCTGTTCTATGAATTCAAAATCTAAATGATACATTAGTTGAAAAGCAAATGACAGTTATTTTTGAGATCAGCAATAAAGTGGTTCATTGCTTTATATTGGTCTCAGTCTGAAAGGGCATGCATATTATAAAATGTTATGCAAGTGATACACAATCCATTAGGAATGCTGTTTGTATAAACTGTGTTAGATCAAGATGTTCCAGAACATTAAGACAAATTAAAGACTGAGAGATGGTGGCCTGAATGTTTAATAATAGTTCCTTGTTTTATTGAATTTGCTTCATTTTGGAATCGTTGAGAAGTTACGTGCTGTTTGACTATTCATAATTGCCCTGCACAGTTCATAATCAGTCATCGTTAGACCTAACTGAGGCAATTAGGTATAACATGAGATTGCTCTTTCCCTCCCACCAAACACACATATATAAAGGAAGGGTGTTATTATTATTTGACTGCTGGGAGTGTAGAAAAATTTGGGATGTTTTTGAATCATGCAAACTTGAAACAATGTTGTCGTTACCCATACAAAAGCACAATATTACGAATGATAGCAATCTGAAATAAAAACAGAGAATGCTGGGGAAACTCAGCATAGTCAATATCTTGAGTCCAATATAACTAGAATGAGTTCTGGAAAAGAGTCATACCCCACTTAAAATATTAACTCAACTGCAATGAGGAGAAATTTCTTCACGAAGAGAGTCGTGAGCAGAATTCCCTCTAATTTTCTTATCGGCTGTGTGACCTTCCGAGACCCGAGGATGGCAGTAACGTTTCGAAATGCTGTCAATGCTGTGAACAACGTGTTAATGCTGATCACTGTGCATAGAACATTGGAGCAGCTGCATGATCTTAGAGGGAATATTGGCTGTGAGCCTGTGGAATTCTCTGCCAATTAAAGCGGTTGAGGGCAAAACATAGAATGTTTCCAAGAAGTGAGATAAGGTTCTTTGAGTGAAAGGGTTCAAAAGGCATGGGAAGAAAGTGGGGCTACTGAGTTGGATCATCAGCCAATCATATTGAATGGTGTAGCAGGCTTGTGGGGCTTGTGGTCCCAGGAATTACAGCATGAGTTCCACACTTTATAATAGCTGATCTGCTCCCCACGTGCCTTGAACCCGCTAATATCCACTGTAATTCAAAGAACATTAAATCCAGCAATACTCTTAGATAATGTTTTGCAACATATTTCATTTTCACTTTATAAAACAAGTCATTGGAGCCATTAGCAGTGCACACTGACATGCAGTGAAATTTCCTGTTTTCAACGCATGTATAAATATGTGTAAATGCTTGAGTTTACACTGTCATTCAAACCTTCAATAATGGTGTGTCTCAGGGTTTGCTGCAAAATCTAGACTGTCATAGTTTTAGATGGTATTCAAACACCTACCTACAGTAAAGTAGTTATTCAGCATTGTAGAATTAATGGTAACCCATTCATCCTTAAAGCATATGAGTTGCTACGCCGTTATCTGTTTTAAGCTGAAGTATTAGTGCATTGTGGTGTAATTGATCAAGGAAAATATTTGGAAAGTGTAATCTTAACAGTATAATATTAACAGTAGAAGGTGTTTATGTTTATCATTATTTTCATAATTTTCACACTCTCTGTATGCTTACCATTTTACAGTCATGGTGAAACAGCTTTACATATTTGTGTTCAGTGACATAAAGTAGCTGCTCTTTAATTTCCAACATCATTTTACTTTCCAATTTTGAGCAACTGGAGCACCAGGTAGGTGGTTTACAGATCAATTCCTAACAAGTGTGGATCTTGCAAAACTGCCATCCATATCTCTAGGATATTTACAACCCAGAGCAGGGTTACTCTGACTGCCTGAGTGACCTTGGATCAGGTGTCCACCAGTTTGCTTGAAGCTTTCTATAGCTCAAGAGCAAGTCAGATGCTTCTAATTCCATGGCAAATAACTCACCGCCAGTTTCAACAATGGCTTGTCCACCATCTACCAGATACAAGTCAGACGTCTGCTGAAATGCTTCCACTTGGATATGTGCAGCTCCAACATCATTCAAAAAACTTGGCACCATGCACGACAAAGAAGCCTATTCGTTTGTCACCCTATTCACTACATTCAGAGTTCAGCCCCTTCATTGACTTCAGAGTGTATCATCTACAAGATGCATTTTCATAGCTCACTCAGGGGTCCCATGACAACATCTTCTAAAATTGCAACCTCTACCAGAGAGTCAAAAACAGCAAATGCATGGGAACATGACCACAAGCCATATACTAACTTGACTTGGAACTATATCACTATTCAATCACTGTCACTGGGTCAAAATCCTGAAGCTCGCTTCCTAACAGTACTCTGGATGTCCCTTCACCCTAAGAACTTCATTGGTTTAAGAAGGCAGCTCACCAGCACCTTTCCAAGGGTATTTAGGGATTTGGAACAAATACAAACCAAGGCAACAATGCCCACATCCCGTGAATGAATAAAATAGTAGACTGGGCCAGTTTTTCAGGCAGGTTTTGACTCCACTCTCCTTCTGTCTTAGCTGACCTGTTGTATGTCCATGTCAGCTCACTCTGCTGTGTGACCAGCTGCCACCATTATCTTTAAGAGTAGGATACTATAGGGCCTCTGTGATCTAGAGTGGTGGAGGGAAAACACTTTCTGGTTATCCTAGAAGTGTCATTTATGGTTAGCAAGATATAGTTTGTTGTATGTTAGTGACTAATTTTATGTTACATTGATATGATAGAGACATTGGTATAGAGACGTTGAGGAGGACCAAGCATTACCTCTCGCACCTTTGAGATTTAAGTTGTTTTGCCCACAAATGATATAATTATGGTGGTTAAAGCACTCCTTAGTATTAATTTGATCAGACCCAGGTCCAATGGTTTCCAGCTGGGGTGCCTCCTATTGACCTTCCAGCTTCACAAGCCTATCCATTGTCTTTAACTGAACGTAAGCTTATCCTCTGGTTACTAATTGGCCAATTTGGGGAAAATCACTGCTAGGCGATTTTTTTCAACCCCCTGTATAGGTTTTTGAATCCCATTTGACCCCAGTGTTGAAGTCCTGCCCAAAAATCTGAAAGCTTACCTTAAGGCCCTTCTGTTTTCAAAACAACAAAATGCTTAAACAACATTGGAAATCAGATATTATCAGAATTATATACTAGCTGTTTAAGTGGAGGAGGAGAATCTTTTAACCTCTGAACAAATGGCCTATTCATCTTAATATTTCTGTAGCAACAACAACAAAGAATGAAACATGATTTTTGAAATGAATAAGCATATTCTAATGTAAAACGAACAGTAAATCACCTGTAGTGCTTACTTACTCACTCGGGATACTTCCATACCTGCAGCAGTCCCCAGGTACTTGTTCTGATTGCTACATCAAAATTTCTCAACATCTAATTTATTTGATACATTTGGTATGGTAGGAAACTGAATGTTAATGAGCCAAATTGTGCTGTCAATAAGACATTTAACAGGAAATCCTTTATCATTTGTAACTCGGCCCGCCTAGCCAAAAACTAGCAGTGTTAATTAGCGAGAGTATAAAAGATGGAATGAAATGCTTCTGATGTGGAGATTGGCCTGACTGGACTTCTCATCTGATTCTGCCACAAATCTTACCATAGCCCACATTACTCAGACCCCTATAAGATTATAGTAACCTGAAGGACCCTAAAGTGAAACAACAGAGGCTGCAAACAGAACAGAGGGCTCATTGGACTTTGAACATTATTATAAA